TAAGGCGTTGAAAGGCGCGACTACAAGCTTTATTCGATTGTAATCTTGTAATTTCTTCCGAAAAATGCGCACGTTGAAGTTCACGTAATACTAGCAACTCGGCATAGTCGTAATCGGACGCTAAGACATACGAACGTCGCGTCGCAGTAAAAGCATCGCGAATCGACAAACGTAAATTACGCTACGCAATAATTTCGACCCAGAGGACAAGCTGTTCTCCAAAGCAATGATTGGAGAAACCTCGCTTGAAACGTTCGCCACTAGAGCGTGTCTCTTCTCTTCCATCGGTTGTGACACTGACGAAGGTTCGAAATCGGTTATTGGCCATTGCGAGGGATCCAAGTTAACTCAAGAAGGTCCGTGGAACCAAAGCGGTTGGTCCATTATTTGCATCGGGGTGAGTCCACGTGATAGACTACCGGCAGGGTTTTCCGTACCGGACACGTGATAAAAGTAATGCGTTTCTAACTCGTCTTGGATCTTGGCCACTCGGTTCGCAACAAACGTATCCCAACGGTGGGGTGAAGAATGAACCCAGCATAAGGCGACGGTGGAGTCGGTAAAGGCAAATATCCTTTCTAAATGAACTCTATCCCTACATGCGCTGATAACTGCGGTAATAAGCTTGGTGAGTACTAATATTGCGCAAAGCTTCAAGCGCGCCAGAGAGACAACCTTACGGGGGGAGACCCTCGACTTAGAACTAATGAGGCTAATCAAATTTCTACCATTATTCTGGACGTGGAAATATACAACGCCCCCATAAGCCTTCTCGCTGGCGTCTGCAAACCCAACGACCGTGATGACGCTCTTTCTATCAACGTTTATATGACGTGGTATTTTAATTTGTCTTAATAAAGGAAGTTCCTCTCTAAAACGCTGCCACAACCGAACAATGCTGTCAGGCGGCGAGTCATCTCAATCGCATTCAAATAACCAAAGTTGTTTAATCAAAAGCTTAGCGTATAATACCACCGGAGCTACGAAACCCATGACATCCTATAATCTAGCAACGCATGACAGTATTGTGCACTTTGTGCACTTCTCTACGGGCGGGTTTAGCTTAAGGCTAAACACGTCGGACTCTGGAGACCAAAACAGACCGAGCACCTTGTGTGTATCAGAATCGTCGAATTCCTTTATCGCCAAAAGACGGTGTGATAGTGGGATTGTGTCTAAAACCGGCCGCGAATTACTAGTCCACTTGACAAGATCGAATTGACCCGATTTCATGAGCTTTATAACTTCGGCGGTGGTTAGGGTGGCCTCCCCCACGCTACATAAAATCATCTATATATAATCCACTTTCAATTGCCCTCTTAGCTTTAGGATAAGAGGGACCTTCATCGTGGGCGAGCTATGTCACCGTGCGTAACGCATGATATGGGCTCGACTTTAAACCAAAACAAACGCGGTTAAATTCAAACACCATTAGAGGTTCCTTTGGGTTGAAACGATATAAAATGCGTTGGAATCTACGGTCGCATTCACGTACCCCTATGCAAAGAAACATTTGGCGAATATCGGCGGATAGTGCTATACTAAACAAACGAAAATTGGCTATTATATTAAATAAACTGCCCTGTAAATTTTGCCCACTATAGAGGATATCGTTGAGCGACAGATGAGTGCTAGTTTTAGCACTAACGTCGAGCACTACACGTAACTTAGATGTAAGTTTGTCCTCCCTAATGACCCCGTGGTGTGGTATGAAATACGACGGTGTGTCTTCGTAATTATCTAATTTTGAAGCCACGAGTGATATGTAACCTTCTCCTATATATTCGTTAATGACGCCGTCATATGCTTCTTTTAACTGGGGTGAAGCGAGCATCCTACGCTCCAAGCTGTAGAAACGTTTTTCCGCCATTTGACGCGAATCGCCGAGAAATAAAACATCTCCTTTAAAGGGTAGCGCTACACTATATCTACCGTCGCGATCACGAACGGTCGTGCGGACGTAAATTTCCCCGCATAATCTGTCATCTGAGCTAGCTATGGGTGGGACGTTCACCTCCTCCATCTCCCAAAATTCGCGGACTAACGACTCGAGCGGTTCTGCAGCCATACAACAATAAGAGGTTGCCGAAATATTATCTATGATGGGGGCGGAGCCAACGATGACATAGCCCAATACGGTTTCCAGTGCGTAAGGCGCGGTATGCGAGGAGTTGCCCCTGACCTTATTGTTTAACAAAAGATGAGGGAAAAGTGATGCTGCAATGAGCATGTCTATGTTTCCAGAAACGGCGTAAGTGTCGTCAGCTAGAGTCAAATTTTTTAAATTCAATTATTGCCGAGGTGTCAACCGAAACGGTTGGCAGCCGTTCAGTGACCCTATCTACTACTAGTGCATTTATATCAAAGTTAACATTACGATCTATCCGAGAATAAAATTTTAAATTTATATATCCCTGGGTAACTTTACTAGTACCTCCGATGCCTTTGACTACGGGACATGAGAGTGACCTATTTATTACTAAGCCTAAGCGCTGACAACATTGTCGCGTTATAAAGCTATTTTGGGCTCCGCTGTCCAGCAGTGCACGGACGCTTTGTTCGTTTCCACGCGAATCCCTAACCAATATACGTGCCGTACCCAGTAACACGGTTGAAGGAGTTTGTGCTCCCATATTTGACAATGAGCACAGAGCGACATCACCAGGTCGACCGCTAGAAACGTTGACTTTAGTAAGGGTGAATTCTATGTCCACTTTACTTGACGCCGATATGTTGCTATTTTCAAAATGTAATAACGTGTGATGTTTCCTGGTGTACTTGCTACATACGGAACTAGAATTGCATTTTGCAACTAAATGCTTATCGCTTAAGCAGTTTAGACATAGGTCGTTTGTCTTTACTAATTTATAACGTTCGCTTGGTGAATATTTACGAAAGGTCGCAAAATTGTATAAATTACCTTGTTTATCTTTACATATGATACAGGCATGCTGAAGTGGTACCGACGTAGCGGTTACGTACTTTAACGACCCTGCGGTTTTAGATGGTTGAGTCTGTCTACGGTCGACGCATTTTTTAATTTCTTGTTTAACTTTCGGGGGAGCGCTGCATCACCTTAATTTTATCTCGCACAAACGATGCTAATGAATGAAAGGAAGGCATCTTCGAGCTACGATGCTCCATTTCAAACGCACGCACGGTGTCGGGGTCTAATTTCTTTAGTGCAATATGGAGAAACACCACGTCCATAAGGTCATTAAATTTCAAGTTCTTAAGTGCAGCCACCGATGCCACAAATTTATCTAAAAACTGCTCTAAGCCGTTGATGTTTGCGGATGATATAGGTTTAAGATCGAATATCTGGTTCAAATATTCGGAAGCTAACATTCTCCTATCTTCATATTTAGTTTTAAGCGTTTCGAATATTAACAAGTAATTGTTTGCTGTAGGTGTAAAACCCGAGCAAATTGACTGTGCCCTACCACTAAGGTTACTAATTAAATAATATAATTTTTCAGCGTCCGATAAAGATGGGTTATTATGTATACTGTTTTGAAAACTACTGAAGAAGGGCCATGTCTTAATATCACCATTGAATACCGGAATATCTATTGGCGGCAACCTAACCTCACGTCACGTCACGTGGGCGTACCTGGATTTCCGGCTTTGCTTCGTTTTTAGATGGAGACTGTAAGAGCTTTGCCGTTCTTTTCACGCGACACAACATATCTTCAAATGCTAGAAGCGGTTGGTAGTTCACTATATATTTCGGGTCAATTTGTAATTCCAAATGATTAATTTGGTCTAATATCCTTTCGTAATCCGTCCGCAAAGAATCCACCGTTTCAATTTCATTCAAAAAAATTTCCCGCACTGCTTCTACATTAATGTTCTTTATGTGATCACTAATACTTTGTATACGTGAAAAAAAGTATATCCCTCTTGGCATAAAGCGTTTTAATTTTAATTTCATTTCCACTAACTGCCATTTTAAATTATTGTAATTAATATTGTATTCATCACAATTAATCGCACAACGCTGGAGGATGGACACGCGTGCCGTATTACGTCGTTAAATTGAACACCTGTACAACGAGGCGAGGTTACGCGCGTCGCTCTCTAAACTCAATATATTTTTATCAAAATTGTCAGGTAAGCGTACAAAACGCGTGTGATTACACTGTTTCAATTACTTAAGTTACTAATACGCTTTAAATTTAAACCAAATACAAACACTATTTAAATGAATAATTCTATTTGCGAGTAACTAACCAAAATTTAAATTTAAACTAAACGAATACTATTAAAATGAAGAATTAATTCTATTTGCAAGTAACTAACCAAAAGTTTAATTTTAAACTAAGCGAAATCTATTAAAATGAATAATAAAATCTATTTGCAAGAAACTAACCAAAGTTTAATTTTAAACTAAACGAACACTATTTAAGTCTATTCCATAAATTAGAGTGCATTGTCTAAGTAATTAATCTAATAATTCGACCAGAAAATGGTTGAACGACTACTAATTACGAGTCCAAATCCTGCCAAAATGACCATAAAATGGTGGAGCGACGAGCCTAAGGTTACCGAAGTCCAATTCCCCGGTCGAACCTTGAGCCTATTACGCGAGATGTTAAACCCAAATGGACTGTATATGCGAAATGCTTCTTCGTTTACACATTAACAATATTTTTATACTTATATAATTTAGTAATGGATAATCATTTCACAGTTTTCAAAAAATCAAAAAAGAAATATAATTTGAATTTGAGACATAATTAACTAAACATTGTTGTAGTCATCATAATACGATACGTGCATTGACTGTGGTAACAATAATAGTTCAGCTATAAGAAAATTGCAAATGCACCATTTATAATTACATAGAAGTTTGATTAAATATTTTTTCTTTAAAATCTATATGCATATTTGAATAACAGTGGTTTTTTACAAAGGGAAATTTCAATCTATCTTTAATAAGCCTCGTACCAAAATACTCTGACCCACTTCATTTACGTACTCCCAAGCGTGAGCCGCTTTCAACCAACAAAATTTTCTCCGCCAAGCAGAAAGAAAAGAAACTCCTGTCTCTCAGTGAACAACAAGATCCAGTTAACAGCCATGATGAAATAGTTCATATGCTTAGCGACGGTCGTTTCTTCCTCACACTTTTGTTGCTCAAACCGAGAATCGTGCCAATTACCTTGGAGACAGAGTAGGCAGCGAGCTTCCGGCGCGGTGCGGGTAGCAACAGCGCCAGTGCTCTTGCCTCCCGCAGCAGCGCGTGGAAGACTAGCGCTGCGCCCGTGCTCGACTCCGCAGCCGACACCTCGTAGAACTGGCATCCGAACCGTAGCGACAGCTCCTGACCCTCCTCAGCATTGACAACCCTTGCATGTTCTAAATCTCTCTTGTTCCCGAGTAATGTCACAGCAGTACAACTAGGAAGCCTGGTTCGCTCTAACAGAGAAAGCGGCTCGGATGCTGCCAAGAATGAGCGTCGATCGCAAACTGAATAAACCACAACAAAAACTTCGCCCCAACGAAGGTGTTCCGCGAGACATCCTCGTTTCGCACAATCACATGTATCCAAAACTTCTACTTCTAATGTGGCTCCGTCAAATGCAACCCGTTGTTGATATAAGAAATCACCAGTGGAGCTATATTCTCCAATATAGCGCTTTGTGAGGTATCGTACGACAATAGCGGGGTGTTGCTTCTATGCGGCTTGGGCACTATGTTATGTTGCTGCGCTGCGACCTCTGGAAGACACTCTGGGGCCCCAGAGATGCTTTCTTGTCCGGTGATGCGTCGGGAGAGAGTGCAGTGCGCGACTATTTCTCACACGAGGTGAGGCGGGTTTCCTGGAGCTCGACTGCTTCCAGGCTAAAGCGGTTATACTAGCGGTGCGCCTGGGCAATAGCCCTTCTATGACACTATTTTCTTAAGCGGTGTGGTTCCAACGACGAGCGCGACGGGAAGAGAGTGCGCGTTGGCCGCGCGCGCCTTTTATTCCTTCGGTTGCGATGATCGCGTGATATTCTAGAATCATCTTCTTTCCCCTCCACCCCATCACCCCGATGTGTCGATAGGAGGGTATGAATGTTATCGTTTGGAAAGGGATAAACGATTTGGCAAGCCTACCGTCAAATATAAATAAAATACGAATGGTTTTCCGCGCAACCAAACAGTTTTCAAAATATTGTAATTATTCGATATTACCGTTGGCTTGCGATATCGTAAGCTCCACAAATAACTCTGTTATTTGTTTTCCATAATCAGCAATAGACATATCATTTTGGCGTAATTTTTGCAATTTATTTTGAATTGCTGCTGCTCCTTTTTTTGGCAACAACTCTTTCTGCATGTCCCTAACCAAGTCCTCAACATTAGAGTAATCGTCTTGAAGACGTAATTTAGCAGATTTATATAATCTACTTTTTAATATTAATTTAATTAAATTCTTTTTGCATTCCTGTTTTGTTAACAAAGAATTATAATACTGAATATTGTCTACTAATTGTTTCACACTTGTTTCGTCATCTGACATAATAGGTAATAAAGTCAAAGCCGTTTTCAAATCAAAAGTATCCATATTGCTCGGATTTTCAGATTGTATACACTCGAGCTTACACAATTTTATAATATTATCCTGATATAATGATTCAAAATTCTTACAATAGATTTGATAAGATGGAATATCAGTAGATTTAATCTTGCCTTCCTTTACTTTACTATTAAAATTTATTAACAACTTAGAATAGTCACTAAATATTTCATTAGCGTCTTTAATAATACAGGATCCATCGCCCATTTTTGCACGTGATTACTATCAAGCTAATTTTCCGTCAGTAGCTTTATTTTGATGAGACGTCCAATATTTTCCTGTACGAAATTCTCGATTGTGGTAGCTAACATAAGTAGCAAGGATAAAATATGTTGATTTGATGATTCTCAAATATTTATTACTAACTGAATTTTTTTTGTTAAATCTCAAGATAATTATCTAAATTATTCGAAAAAATATTTATCCTACAAAAGTCTACGGTTTGATCAAGTCCCCTCTATCCAATACGTATCGATAACGAGGTCATCATAAATGATTACTAACCAGCTGATTTTTTTTGTTTTTAATTAGTTAATATTTATATAATTTAACAGACATATTGTCCTACAAATTGCGTGGTACGTTATCCCGGTCCTACGCTCAAAAGTAGTAGTACAGATCCTTGATGTAAAAATAATTACTATCAAGCTGAATCTTCGTGAAAAGCTTCGTTTCGATGAGTCGCCCAACAATTTCTTATGCGATAATTCTCAATTGTGGTAGCTAACACAGGTAGCAATGATAAAATATCTCGATTTGATTATTTTCAAAAATTTTAAAGAAGTTAGAAAAATTAATAATCGTCAATTTAAATTCAACAAAAAAATTAACAAAAAAAAATTGTGTCGCTTGGGTTTCTGTATTTTGCTACTACAGCTGAGTCACACCGGTACGGCTGTACGCATGCGCAGAGCATTGCTTACTCCGTATTAGGTATCCCACGTTATTGTCAACCATAAGCCTGCAAACATTTTCTCAGTCGACCACGTGTTTTATTTTGTCTTGAGAAATTATTTCAAGAAATGTTTTTTGTGCTGGAAAATAAATATGGAGTGTTTTTTGTGTAATTTCTTTTGTGAAAACCCTACTTTTCGAGAGAAAAGAGAAAAATGTTTTACTGTTTTACTTTTCGAGAGAAAAGAGAAAAAGAGAGAAAGGTGTCTTATGAAAGGTAAGTCGATCGGATAATATTTACTTTATTTTTAAAATTATTGAAAAATAATTTATTAAGTTCATATTTTCACGTAATTATGTAAAATCGAGCATTAGCATTGTAACATTCTATTGTAGCATTGTATTATTCTTAAATTCTTTAAACAATAATTTTTGATAGTATATTATATTTTACATATTTTCTTATTTAATTTTTTGTCGTTGACATTTATATTTTTGTATGACTATTTGACTAAATATTAATTTAATACGGAATAATTTTTTCAATATCGATGATGCTATGTGATATTTATTTTTTATTTATTTATTAACCAGTGCGTGTTGCCAGTGATGACTTACGGATCTGAGACGTGGTCCTTCACCGCTGGCCGTATGAGGACGCTCAAGGTCGCTCAGCGAGCTATGGAGAGGGCTATGCTCGGAGTTTCACTGCGTGATAGACTCAGAAATGAGGATATCCGCAGTAAAACCAGAGTGACTGACATAGCCCAACGGATTAGTAAGCTGAAGTGGCAATGGGCCGGCCATATAGCTCGAAGAACCAATAACCGATGGGGAAGAAAGGTTCTCGAGTGGCAGCCTCGTACCGGTAGGCGTAGTGTAGGGCGACCCCCCACTAGATGGAGTGACGACCTGGTAAGACATGCAGAAAGTCGATGGATGCAGGTGGCTCAGGACCGTGCTTTGTGGCATTACTTGGGGGAGGCCTATGTTCAGCAGTGGACTTGTGAAGGGCTGTAATGATGATGATGATGATGATGATGTGATATTTATGTAGGTACTGTATTTATTTGCATGTTTCTCAAATAAACAATTTTTAATTTATTTTAATAATTTCTCATGCACAGCACTGAGACAGCTGTGAGAGCCTGAACCTCGAGTAGTCTCTCATGTTATTTTAAAAATCGTAAACTCAAAGGTGGATGGTGCAAAACCTCTGAAACTAATGGAGCAGTTACTAAATTGACTTTGCGTGACTTGCGAGAGATAATATTATAAAGTTTTCAATAAATAGTTTACATAACTAACTGTTGTTCTTTATTTTAATTTTTATTCTTCATTCCATAAATAGCTAGTATGTATCCATATACCATATCAAAATCTTCTGAATCAGTTTCCCTCTGTCGCCTTTTACATAACCCTCGAGAGGACACGATGTAATGAATATTTTTACATCACCACTGCACAGAACAAGCTTACACAAAGTCATTAATTCGAGTGTATGACCTTACATGAAGACTTTTAATGTGGTACAGTTAATGAAGTAGCTAGTTTTCTTTCTTTCAATAATTTTAATCAATATAATTTCAAAAGTTTTATTGGTCATATTTTAGACCTATATAAATACTAAACACTTAATCACTTGAATTTTGACGGAATATCACCGCGTTCAAATGTGGACGCTTGGTAGCTAAGAGGTTAACACAAATAATTAGTAATAAGTACCTACACTTAAGTCGGTAAAAACCTAGACTACATTAAGAGGAAATATAATACGTGTTGCTCGCTTAAACGTCGCAAACAAGTCATTATATGAAATCTAAGCGAGTGTTACAAACATGATATTATATATAGCTGTAGCATGGCTCTAACAGGTATGAAAGTTTTGTTAGAATGTTACTTGTCTAAACATGTCAAGATAGACAACGATGGCTAAATCTACCCACGTTCTGCAGAGCGTAGCCATATTGTTACGCCTAACATTTTCAATAACAAAACAAAGTGAGAAAATAAAGCTTAGACGAAATGATAGTGAAAATTGAAAGTGCTGCGTGGAATGCCGATTTTATGAAACCATCAAGGGGAGACAGATGCCTTGTCACATCCTGCCGTTATGAGAAAAAACTTTTATTCATCCTTTATTTCATAAACGTAGGTGAATGAAATTATATGCTATATTTTTATAGTATACGAGTGACAAATGAGCACAAAGTCCACCTGATGGTAAGTGGATGCTGTGGCCGATAAGCATCTACATTTATCCTCAATTAATGATCAAAATGCAGATACGTTGCCACTCCTGAGGACTAACTAGTATTTCAGTAAAAAATCATTAATCTTTACACTTTTCTAACAAACCAATTTCCCCCGCTATGAAAGCTTTCAATTTTCTCATACTAACTTCATACCTAAGTGGCACCGTCCTGGTGGCAGAAAAATCATGGAAGCCCTCACTGACGTAGTCCAGCGGATTAGTAGACTGAAATGGTAATTGGTCAGTCATATCGCTAAATAACGGCTTCCACTGCGAAAAAAATGTTCCTGAGTGGCAGCCTCGTATTGGCAAAGGCAATGATAGGTGACTCACCACTAGATGGAGTAAAAACCTAATGAAACTTGCCGTTAGTCAATGCAGATCCAGGACTTTGTGTTGGTTGTCTATCGTATGTTCAGCAGTGGTAATGTGAAGGGCCTTAAAGATAATAATGTGATGATGATATTGAAATGAAAAGGCATAAAATTAAAAAGATTGAAAATTATATCGGCATTTACCTATTTCTAATAATCTTAACACGTCGCTTCTTCCCTCAATGCGATTTATAAAACGTTTTATGTCTCGGCGAA